CGCGCCGCTGTTTGCGCATGCGCAGCGACCTAAGCGTCAGAAAAAATCTGATGTCATCTGACTGGCTTCCCTGTATCAATCAAGTGACGGGATGGATGATAGGCTGGCATCTATTTTTTTAATGCCATGCAATCTACCAATACTACCTTTGCGATCGACTGGTCGATCGCGATCGACGTATTGAGCACCCCTGCTCTAAGTCATACAGTGATAGTAAAATATACCATTAGAATTATTCCCCTTTTGCTTCAGCAAAGCCATATACATTAAAATCATGTTATTTTTCATTGCAACTATTATAATCAAATAACACTTTAATTACATGTATTGGGGATAAAATATTAGGCCAGTAATCATGCTGCAATTACCATGTGGCAGTAGGTAATTAGAAACCATTTGCACTAGTATAAAAATTCCATCCACTGTGCAGTTATAATTACAGCTCCATTATCACAGTTCAGGTGCTCTCGCTATTAAGCCTCAGTGTTATGTGCAGCTCTTAATGTAGGACTGCAAAGTTTTGTTCCAGCCCTTAGTTTAAATAAAAGCTTTGCATTGTTTGCTTCTGTGCTACCGATGTATGCTCCTCAGGGCTAATTGCCCTCATCTTTCAGTATGCCTGTGAACATTACTAACTCAAGGATGTGCTGCTTGACACTTAAGCTGTTTGCAGATGGGTAATAAAGTGTGCTAAGCACATTTGAGCCATGCCTTTTAAATGTTCCGCTCAGTGCCAGGGGAACTATAAAACCGCATCACTGCTCATGTGAGACACAGAAATCATAGCTTAGTCTTTCCATCAGATTAGTTTTTTTCCCAGAAGTAAGATATAATGTATTAGAGCATACACTATGGATGAATAAATGGTTTGTTAGGTTAGTAAGGCTGATAGATTGATAGAAGGATTTGCACAGTAAAATGGAAAATAGGTTAAAAGCTGTTTCCAGAAGAAAAGTGAATAAAGCATTAAGTAGAAAAAGTTGTGCAAAATGACGCTAGAAAACGTTCAGAGGACAAATACCACCTACTTCTTTTTGGACTATTAAGAATACGAGCATTAAGAGAAGCAAATAATATCAGTCACCCCAAAAACACACCGCAAAGAGCAAGAGCACCAGTATACTCAGATGCCAATACACCTACACTATATTTCCAAAAAGTATTCCCTAACACATCCAAATCATTGAATTTTAATCACTTCCATGGCTGCATCACCAAGCACAATGCAAAGCACCGGATGCACTGGTGTGCACCCCGCTACTGGACTCTAGAGCAGTAGGGACGTGTTCTCTGGAGTGACAAATCACACATGTTCGTGTGACATTGCGATGGACAAGTATGGGTTTCTAATCATTTCATCATGACTCGCACCACTCCACAAAGCAAGGTCAATAAAGACATGGATGAAACAGTTTTTTGTAGAACTTGACTCGACTGCACAGAGTCCTGACTTCAACCCACCAGAGCAAAGACTGTGAGCCAGCCTTCTCAGTCAACATCAGTATCTGACCTTACTAATGCACTTTTGGAAGAATGGTCAAAAGTTCCCATAAACACACTCAGAAGAGTTGAAGGCAGACAAGTGAATACTTTTGGCAATACTTATAAAACCACTACTTTTGACCCACATATCCTAATTCTGTTACTGTCACTTTCATGTGGATGACAATTACACGACTCTAGTGTACTAGAATAAAAAAAACAAGCAAACAAAATAAACACTTTCTGTTTAAAGATAATGTTTAACTTTTTGTACTTATACATGTCCAGCTACTCAAAAATAACAAAAGAACTTAAAATTATATTCCAAACACGAGTTGAAGTTTCACGAGGTTAAGTCTTTCTAACACAACTAAAATTTAGATTTCTTTTAGTATTTTCCTTGTTTTAAATTCATGTCCACCTATCAGGAATATATTTTATGGTCTGGTTCTCACTGAGGTTGCTTGATAGTGTAATGCTGGGCTTACACTGTGCGATTTTTGGCCCATTTTGAGCCGATTTTTGAGGCGTGCGACCGTTTTGGCGATCGGCCCGATTTTGGCCTTCATCGTGCATCGTGCATCGTGTAGTATACGTGGGGTAACGAGACGCGATTAACACCTCACGACCAGCTCCCGATCATCAATTGCTTGGTCGCGAGGATTTGTGAGGGTGTCACCGCAGTTTGTCACACTGCGCACGCGCAAACACAAATGTCAGCGAAAAAGATGGCGCAGCACGGCAGTGCAGCGTGTGATCTGGACACAAGCGATGGAGGCACAACTTGTAGAACTTTGGAAAGCTCATCCGAGCCTTTTCGATGTGGCCTCACAAAATTATCACGACACAACAACCGTGAAAATAGTTGGATCTACACTGCTGCTCAATCACAGCTGCCTGATCAATGTTTTTCATTAGCAATTTAGCAAAGTTGATGGTGGTGGTGTGTCTGTGTGAGTGAAAGACAGAGAGAGAGAGCGACAGAATTTCTGTTATAACCTTCATTTTATGGAGGCACAGTGTGAGCACTCAGGTCGCATCAGAGCATCGGGCCGTATAGTGTGAGACCCTGCATCGTGACCTATGAAATTCTAACCCCTGCGAGTCAATCGTACAGTTTGAGCAGGAGCTGAATCGCGCGACTGAAAAAAATCGCACAGTGTCTGCCCAGCATAAGGTTAATTTTGTGCAGCTGTATATGAATGGATTTTTAATCACAGTGTGATTGTCTTTTCCAATGTGTAGTTCATAAAACACACAGTTTCATGAACGACACATTTGTTGCCAGATACCAATGCCAGTGTTGCCCATGGCATTTGGCAACAAACCTAATCAAAAGTTATGCTTCACACTCCCTTTTGTCAGGAACAAAGTCACATAACAAGCCTGTGAGTAAACAAGGTGCTTAGAAACTAGAAGATGCCCAAATAGGTTGTGAAGGCCAACAGAATAAAGTTGATCTTATTTGTTGTTATCAAATTTTGAGAAGAAACAATACAAGGTTACCTGATTGCGTTTAATTTTTTTTTTTAATCTAATCCCGTTTTTCTCCCTCTTTTTCTTTTTTGTGACCAGGAGGACACTGCTTTCACATGAATGGGAGGTGAGGTGACCTTTTATTTCATGGAATTACATACCACTGTAATGTGCCCTTCATCTTCTTGCATTTTTCTTTGTTTGTATTTTTGTTTTCATTTTTACATAACAGTAAATAAATCTAATTTATGGTAAACTAAGGCGAAATAAAGGGGGGGGGGGGGGGGGAGATATAATAGAAGAAAAGAGACAAAATCAGGAGGGATTCCAGATGTGTGTGATCTCATAACCAGGGTCAGATACAATCTACTGTAGAGATCAAACTTACCATACTAATTGTACTGTACTGTACTCTTTCTTCATCAGTATGTCACAAAGTACAGTGGGGCAAAAAAGTATTTAGTCAGCCACCGATTGTGCAAGTTCCCCCACTTAAAATGATGACAGAGGTCAGTAATTTGCACCAGAGGTACACTTCAACTGTGAGAGACAGAATGTGAAAAAAAAAATCCATGAATTCACATGGTAGGATTTGTAAAGAATTTATTCGTAAATTAGGGTGGAAAATAAGTATTTGGTCACCTCAAACAAGGAAAATCTCTGGCTCTCACAGACCTGTAACGTCTTCTGGAAGAAGCTTTTCTGTCCCCCACTCGTTACCTGTATGAATGGCACCTGTTTGAACTCATCATCTGTATAAAAGACACAGCCTCAAACAGTCAGACTCCAAACTCCGCCATGGCCAAGACCAAAGAGCTTTCGAAGGACACCAGGAAAAGTATTATAGACCTGCACCAGACTGGGAAGAGTGAATCTACAATAGGCAAGCAGCTTGGTGTGAAAAAATCAACTGTGGGAGCAATCATCAGAAAATGGAAGACATACAAGACCACTGATAATCTCCCTCGATCTGGGGCTCCACGCAAGATCTCATCCCGTGGGGTCAAAATGATCATGAGAACGGTGAGCAAAGATCCCAGAACCACACGGGGGGACCTGGTGAATGACCTGCAGAGAGCTGGGACCAAAGTGACAAAGGTCACCATCAGTAACACACTACAACGGCAGGGAATCAAATCCCGCAGTGCCAGACGTGTTCCGCTGCTGAAGCCAGTGCATGTCCAGGCCCGTCTGAAGTTTGCCAGAGAGCACATGGATGATACAGCAGAGGATTGGGAGAATGTCATGTGGTCAGATGAAACCAAAGTAGAACTTTTTGGTATAAACTCAACTTGTCGTGTTTGGAGGAAGAAGAATACTGAGTTGCATCCCAAGAACACCATACCTACTGTGAAGCATGGGGGTGGAAACATCATGCTATGGGGCTGTTTTTCTGCCAAGGGGACAGGACGACTGATCCGTGTTAAGGACAGAATGAATGGGGCCATGTATCGTGAGATTTTGAGCCAAAACCTCCTTCCATCAGTGAGAACTTTGAAGATGAAACGAGGCTGGGTCTTCCAACATGACAATGATCCAAAACACACCACCCAGGCAACAAAGGAGTGGCTCCGTAAGAAGCATTTGAAAGTCCTGGAGTGGCCTAGCCAGTCTCCAGACCTCAACCCCATAGAAAATCTGTGGCGGGAGTTGAAAGTCCGTGTTGCTCGGCGACAGCCCCAAAACATCACTGCTCTCGAGAAGATCTGCATGAAGGAATGGGCCAAAATACCAGCTACTGTGTGTGCAAACCTGCACTGTAAACCCCAACAGTCTACCTGACTTATAAAGTTTGTGGATATAACAATTAAAATTCCTCACAAAGTTGAAACAACTTAAAACTTTTCTGTTCGGTTAACGATTCAAACAGTTATAATTGTACATGGCTTAGAAGTTAAGAGTAAATACTGCTTTCTTAATTATGATTTTTGAGTAAATGTTTTTTTCCGAGCTCCGCATGTGGACGTCATGACGTCATGACGTCTTCTCTCTAACCTGAACAACGTTGACAGAAAATTCTGTTCAATATGGCTGCCCTTCTCGAGCGACTGGAGAACACATTTGGAGAAACTTGTAAGTAAAACGGAACCTTCGTTATGTTTATTTTTTCCGTAAAAAAGCAAGTATATTAATATGTTGCAGCCAATAACTTGTTTTCGAATGCGCTGTTGTGTTAAAAAGCACAGACCCAGGTGGTGAATAGTTGTTCGCGGTTGTTCGCGCTCTTTTTCAAACATAGATTATGTCGTCAGTTTTACAGTTTTAACCGATTAAAACACAGTTTTACGAAGAATCACACATAAAGAAAGGGTCTTAGTGATATTTTAACGACCCCTTGCCAACGCAAGAAAGTTGGCGTTTTTACAACAGCAGCCTCATTGTTCGGCAGGTTTTGTTTTTTTTTCCTCTCATTAGCATCATTCAAAAGTGACTTAGCTAGCAGTGGCAACTTCTATCTAAAACAATTGAAATATAGCAAGGTGTTGTATATTTAGTGTGCTGATAAGGTTTTCAATATTTTTATTTTTTCTTCCAAGGCTGAAGGCCAAAGACAAAAAGACAGAAGAAAAAAAAATTCAGACTGCAATTAATTTCAGGTGGAGACAGTAAACACAGGTGAGTTGAAAGATCTATTGAAGAAACCATTCATTAAGTCCCTTAAGGTGAAGATTTCATATATTGATAATGATAAAAATTAACACAAATTAAAAGTTTCACTGATAAACACACAATTTTTCCTTGCTTTGAACCCCATGTTCTATATAAATCACAGCTCTGATCTGGAGAACACTATTTTAAAATACTGTGTAGGGTTTTTGTCAAATGATTAAGAAACATACTCTCTGTCACAAGAGACAGAAAGGTTGTATCTTAAAAGAAAAGTCTCCAAAATTTAGTAGAGTCTGATGTCATGCAGTTTCATAAACATGTATTCTCCCCAAAGAATGACACCTGAAAACTTTGCGTTAAATGAACTTTTCTTTTCCCTTTTTAGGAGGCGCCTGATATCAACGTGAAACGCACTGCAGTACTTCGTGCCCTTCCTGTATACCTGCGGGAGGAGGACCCAGAATTCTTTTAGACATGTAATGTAAGTGTATTTTTGCATTACTTAAATTCTGCCAGTAAGATAAAATGCTATGGATTTTTTTAAATACAATTTAATACCCTAGCAGCTACCAAATTGTACAAACAAAATACCCTCTCTGTAGAAAACCCACACACACACAGGTCAGGAGCAGGGCACAGGCATATCACAGCACTATGGCTATGCTGCAGGTGGCCCAAAAACCAGGCTGAAGTCAAGATTTAGTTTCTTTTTGAGATAAAGTCATGAAATAAAAAATTACTTTTTTTTTTAGAAAAATAATAAAAATACAAATTATGTAATGCAAGAAGCTAGCACATTAATGTACATTTTTCAAAAAAAGTAGAGTACCCTAACTCGTTACAAAGTAACCCACTACACTGCTGAATGTTTTGCTAGATTACAGGTCATGCTTGTCACATTCTCTCAAACCAACCTTACTTATTTAATTGGGGCGATCGTGGCTCAAGAGTTGGGAGTTCGCCTTGTAATCAGAAGGTTGCCGGTTCGAGCCCTGGCTCCGACAGTCTCGGTCGTTGTGTCCTTGGGCAAGACACTTCACCCGTTGCCTACTGGTGGTGGTCAGAGGGCCCGGTGGCGCCAGTGTCCGGCAGCCTCGCCTCTGTCAGTGCGCCCCAGGGTGGCTGTGGCTACAATGTAGCTGCCATCACCAGTGTGTGAATGGGTGTGAATGTCTGGATGACTGAATGTGTAAAGCGCTATACAAATACAGGCCATTTACCATTGATACTGTGTCTATTCCAGGCGGACGCATTGGATGAGTCGACCCTCATTGACACTCCAGTTGCCCTTCTCACAGTGGTTACCGACGGCGCTTCCCAGTCCAGTCCATTTTACTTCCTCAAGCATGGCTGTTTTGGTGAAAGGCGACTAGGTGATGCGTGATATTCCCAGATTTGCAAATGCATTTGCTTTATTGTTTGGCTTGATCTATGCTCTGCATTTAGACTACCCCAGGAAGCTGGTTCACACATTTGCACTTAGTCCAAAATATCTTCATGGGGCTTGATGACGGCAAACCCCTGAAACCCCTGCCTACATGCTCTTAAGGAATATAAGGCAATGTTTGTTAGGACACGCACTCTGTTACTGAGCACTTTGTTTGAAGCACTTTAAGCACTTTAAGTTTACTACAGGCTTTGGGTGGATTTAACTCCATCAGTTTACCTAATTTTCCTATACTTGACTGCCTTATCTGGTTATTTGGAAGCTGATCGTCTTTGTACCCATTTTAAAAAATTGTTTTTCATTTCTATTTAAAAAAAGTGATTAGTATTTGACTTTTTGTTTTGCATTTTGTGTATTTTGAGAAAGATGCAATTAGGACTGATGTCGTCCTTTGTGAGTTTATAAAAAGATAAATGTTCTACACAGAATTTATAATGCTCACTTTATGGTGCCGATGTCCATGTTAGTTGTTTTATAAAAACATTTGTGATGTTTTAAATTTTCATGAAAAAATGTTAAATAAACAAAATGTAAAGTAACTGAATTTCCGTACTTTTTTTTTTTTTAGTAGTCTACACTCACAACATAAATATCTTTTAATTAATAATCAGATAATTTGAGTTTAGGTTGTAATATAAATGCATTGTGTTGCATCAAAATAATAAACTACAAGAAACACAAAAATATTGAAATTAAAGTATACAGTCTTTGAGTAAAGCTCAATTAATAAAATATAAAATATAATTTAAAATTTTTAGGTTAACAATAAATACAAATTTTGAGTACCCCATACTTAGAAGATATGAGTTTTTGTACTTAAATCTTTTGAGGTAATCAGTTTCCACAAAAGTTTTAAGTTCAGTCAACTTGTTCGGGTTTACAGTGTGGTAAAGACCTATAGTAAACGTTTGACCTCTGTTATTGCCAACAAAGGTTATGTTACAAAGTATTGAGTTGTATTTTTGTTATTGACCAAATACTTATTTTCCACCCTAATTTACAAATAAATTCTTTACAAATCCTACCATGTGGATTCATGGATTTATTTTTCACATTCTGTCTCTCACAGTTGAAGTGTACCTCTGGTGCAAATTACTGACCTCTGTCATCATTTTAGGTGGGGGAACTTGCACAATCGGTGGCTGACTAAATACTTTTTTGCCCCACTGTATTTACTATGGCATTGTCTGAGCCAATAGCTATGTCATCTCAGTTATCAGAGAAGCAACCCATAATTTGTGACACTGACATCAGATTACAGTTAGGCTATTATTGCATTTATTATTGAAAATACTGATGGAAATGGTGATCAGAAACATACCTCAGTTGCTGATGATGGCAGGCAGCATTTATTTTGGGATTGAAACAGAAAGCTGCAATTGTGGAGGTCAATTTATAACAAACACAAAGTTGTCATAGCAGAAAAACCAGTGATTTTCAATTCAGTGCTGCATATATCTATATGTATATGTAATATATGCAATTTAACAATAACTAACAGATTTTGATTGTCAGGACCTCTTGGGCCCTCTTGTAGGTACAGGATAGCATAATATATAATTATTATGGGTTTTTTTTGTTAGTGTGCACAATTGTCAAAAGTGTCAAAAGTGCACCTATTATTCAGTGTCCACAGATTAATGAATCCTTAGTGATGAGTGAAAGTCCAAACAACATTTCTAAAAGCAGAAAGGTTTACAACAAGCTACTCAATTTGAGGAGATATTTTTTAGTAATGCCATAAATTGCAGGTCCTGTGGGTGGGTCAGAATGGTTTATGGGTTCAGGTGTACTGGGTTAAAAAATTGACAAAGCTGAAGTCCAACTATGATAAAAACTCTACATAAACTGTCAAGCACTCACAATACACAGCTACACAGGACGGTGCAGGTCTTCTTATGAGCTGTCAGTCAATACTTATAGAAAATATATCAAAAATAATTCATATGTATTGTATCAGATGTCCCTCTGCTTTGAGCTGCATACAGCAATTATTACCAGTGCAATTTTGGCACTGTCCATGGTGCTGAAGTTGCACTGCTGCCTTTATACTTTGAGCTTGCATTACTATTGTAGTCAAATATTAGAACACTCATTTAATAATGTTGTTCAACATTATTAAAGTAGCTACTCTGAGAAACCTAATGTTTGTTCAAAAAATTGTTTGCTAATAGATGAGCTAGCTTTATAACAAAATGTCTCGGGGGTGCCATGAGTGCAGCATTTATATATATATATACACACATATACACACATATACATACCACCGGCAGATAGAGGAGGTGGCTGATATCCAGAAATCCTACCAGTGGCTGGACAAAGCTGGACTGAAAGACAGCACAGAGGCACTAATCATGGCAGCACAAGAACAAGCTCTGAGTACAAGATCCATAGAGGCCCCAGCCTATCACACCAGGCAAGACCCCAGGTGCAGGCTGTGTAAAGATGCCCCAGAGACAATCCAGCACATAACAGCAGGGTGCAAGATGCTAGCAGGCAAGGCATACATGGAACGCCATAACCAAGTGGCCGGCATAGTGTACAGGAACATCTGTGCCGAGTATAACCTGGAAGTCCCGAGGTCAAAATGGGAGATGCCCCCAAGGGTGGTGGAGAATGACCGAGCTAAGATCCTGTGGGACTTCCAGATACAGACGGACAAAATGGTGGTGGCTAACCAACCGGACATAGTGGTGGTAGACAAACAGAAGAAGACGGCCGTAGTGATCGATGTAGCGGTTCCGAATGACAGCAATATCAGGAAGAAGGAACACGAGAAGCTGGAGAAATACCAAGGGCTCAGAGAAGAGCTCGAGAGGATGTGGAGGGTGAAGGTAACGGTGGTCCCCCTGGTAATCGGAGCACTAGGTGCAGTGACTCCCAAGCTAGGCGAGTGGCTCCAGCAGATCCCGGGAATAACATCGGAGATCTCTGTCCAGAAGAGCACAGTCCTGGGAACAGCTAAGATACTGCGCAGGACCCTCAAGCTCCCAGGCCTCTGGTAGAGGACCCGAGCTTGAAGGATAAACCGCCCGCAGGGGCGTGCTGGGTGTTTTTTTTGTTTGTTTTTTTTATGTGTGTGTGGGGGGGAGGGGGTAACCTGAGAATAAAGCGGGTAATTAATGAGACATCTAACTTAAAGTGGCCCTGCTCACAGTGTATTTCAACACGGGCTGTGTATTTTGAGAAACATGGGGAAATCTTGTCTGAATGCTAAAGTCTGTTGCATGAAAATGTCAAAGTTTAGCCAGAGAAGGAAGATAACAGGATAATAGGATAAAATGATATTGTATTAATAGAAATATCACTGCTATAATTTCCTGCAGATTTGGTCAGAGATCAATTGCATAACCATGCAGAGTGTAAGACAACACAGAGAGAGTGCAGGTACTAAAAAATCACTGACCAATATAATATTGTACTAAAACTATATTTGTATTTGGTTGTGAGACAAGTGCACCAGGATTGTAGATAAAGTCGGAAAAAATGCAAGAATATTCAGTAACTTTAGTTTTATATGATTTGCCGTATAACATATATATTTCTAAAATCACTTCACAGTTAATTTCAGTTAATCTCTACAGTTGTAAAGAGAGATCTGTTGTGTTTTTTACAACAGTTTATCAAAGAAAACAGGCATCCATTGTTTCACTGGGAAAGGATGGTTTGTGGTGCTGGCTCTCTGTACTACCCAGATGTGACGAGTAAGGGGTGAATCTGACCGAGTAACCAAGGGCTCATATTGTATGACACATATGGCAAACCATACGTGCTAAGTGTACTCCTTTTTAGAATAACAGCAAAGTGTTTACTTTCATCATAGGTGAAGATAAGATAAGATAAGATAAGATAAGATAAGATAAGATAAGATAAGATAAGATAAGATAACCTTTATTAGTCCCACACGTGGGAAATTTGTTTTGTCACAGCAGGAAGTGGACAGTGCAAAAGTTATGAGGCAAAAATTAGAATACAATAAGAATAAATACAGTACACAACTGTACAGAATAGAATAAAATAAAATACTATATACAGTAGAATAAAATAAAATAAATATACAATAAGATAAAAATAGAATACAAATACAAATACTATATACAACTGAGTAAAAATACAACGATGACAGAAAGGATTATTGCACTTAGTATTATTGCATATGTATGGATGTGTGTGCTTGATCAGTTAAAGTCTTTATTATGGAGTCTGACAGCAGTGGGGAGGAAAGACCTGTGAAATCTCTCCGTCCCACACCGTGGGTGCCGCAGTCTCCCACTGAAGGGAGCTTATTAGCATAGAATTCAAGTGAACTTAGGTTTGTTTGTTTTTTACCTGCGACCTCACCTGCATTTTGGGTTTCATCTTCATGTTACTATGCTAAATCAAGATGTTGTGCATGGTAAGCATTAATCTAAACAGTAGCATGTTTGTCATTGTGAGCATATTATCAAGTCAACCTTGGCACATGGCTCAAAGCAGAGCTATGCCAAAGTACAGCTTGCACTGGCTTGTTCTCATAAAGACAGCCTTACATTCAAACCCCTATGTAGAACCATTACCTGACTATTTTTCAGTGTGGTTTGCCATAGAAACTATGTAAAGACTGATTTTACTGAAAATAGTAAAGAGTAAGGGACCTATTTTAATCAGTTGCTTTTCCCCTTTCCCATGTGTTACATAATCTAAAACAGTCTATTGGACCATATAGTAAAAGATATGTCCTGGAAAGGCTTGTGCACTTAAGATTAATTCATGTATATATATTTATATTTTAAAGGGCTAGAATTAATAATATAGTAGAATCTAACAAAGAAATGTGCATTCAAAGTTTGTGTATTAATTTTATGGACATCCTTTTTCTGCAAATAGCGATCTAACCCTCTGTGTATCTCACCTATTTTGACCGATGACTAACTGTAACCCCGTCTGTCAAACACTTAAGATCTTTTTGCATTATAATCCAAAAATTAATCTAAACCATGACACATCAGCTAATTGTGTTGGCACAGCAAC